CATGTTAAACACGCATATGGTCTTAAAGAGAAGGGGTGCCAATATCAAAATGTGCCAAGCCCAACCCAAAAATAAGAAAAACCCTCAGCTTAAGTGAAACACATTGTATCATTAAAGGAGGTGGCATGCCACCTCACCTTTCAACACGCCACATAAGCTGGTCAACTGCCAAATCACTAACTAACCCAACTTAACACCTCAGACACCGGAGCCTAGCTCCGGTTGTCTACCCAGGTGAGCCTCACCGGTGCTCTCTGCAAATTTCAATAAAAATCAAAACCCACTACATCATTTTGAAGAGGAAATCAAGTAGGACACGAATATGACTATGGCTTCAAGTTTTATGTCACAAACTGAAAATAAGCCAAATAAAAAAAATCACGTCCAAACATTGCCTCCACCATGGAAGGACTTCAGATGCACCAATATGAGCTTAAAGAAATTCCTAACATGAGAGATTCGAAAGTGGAAAAATACCTAAATGGAGCTACTCCGTTGATGTTTCAAACCTTACTTGAGCTTCCAAAAAAGGTCAGCAATAGACTCCTGAGCTACTTCTGAGCAAGATGGAAGCAGAAAATGGAAAAAAATCTCTAATGAAATAAAAAATTCGAAGAGATAGAAAAGTGAAACAAGCTTGAGCTATCCTGACTTTTTCTTGCAGCAAATTACCTCCTCCCTTCACTCTAGGATTTGCATTTCTTTTATATCTAACCAATTGGGTGATTTTTAAAGCCCATAATGAATGGAAAGGCTCATTTTAAAATTTGATCAAAAACTCACTTAAAATGGAAACACGGGTTAGGCAACTTCTCCACCTCCTTTTGGGTCACCAATTAGCATAAAAGAGGGTGAGGAAATAAAGTGAAATGGTTGTCATGGGTGAGAATGATCATGTGATGTGTTTTGAGTGAATTCCTCAAATGGTAACAAAGTTCAATTTACATTTGTGGCAGCATGTTGTTTGACCTACTTAGGTAATACTTGGTGTTGTCATGAGATGATAATGATGTGTTTCAAAAGAAAGGCAAAACCAACCAAGATTGTGGCTTAAAAAGCAAGAAAACCCAATTAGGTCACACATCCATGTATTCATGTTCATCATGTTTTAACTTGCATTGTAAATCATAAAATGACATGGAATTTGAGTTCATGGTTTAGGAAAGATCTTGAGGCACAAGTTTCATGTTGTAAGTAACTTGATTTGAAGCCTTGAAGTTCATGAATTTTGACCTTGAAATGAATGATCTAAAACTAGGTCATCCAAAATGACCTTGACCTGGAAAGATCATAACTTGAGTTTTACACATGCAAATGATGAGTTCTTGCACTTTTTGGAAATCTTAGATGATGTTCCTCTCTTTGCAATAAAGTTATAACATTTTCCCTGATTCTTTCTTCCTCTAGTGGTTTAGTCTATTCTCAGTCTCCTGTGGCACCATTTCCCATATGTCTCGTATCTTGCATTCATAAGTGTATTCATATCATATTACCCTTTGTGGCTTCTTAGGGGCCAAAATTGTGCATTGTTGTATTTAAGCCTCCCTTATATGGTCCAGACTAAGATGTCAATCTTCATCTCTTCGAATAGGAGAAACTTAAATAGGGGCATCTGTCATACCCTAATTTTTTACCCCTAATATTACACTTCATTCACCTCATTTACATAACACATATATGTGTCTTTATGCATCACTAACCCACGACAAGTGTAAGATGTGTGCATCATATCCAACATATATGTCCCCTACTCATTCATGAGAATTAAGATATTTCATTCATCCATAATCAAGTGCAAGATTGAATCATGACAAGCTCATCAAGCATCAAGATCCTTAGTGCACCAAAATTAGGGCATCATATCCAACAGATGAATTATCAAAATATGGGCATCATATCCAACATCTTATGTCCCCTACTCATTCATGAGAATTAAGATATTTCATTCATCCATAATCAAGTGCAAGATTGAATCATGACAAGCTCATCAAGCATCAAGATCCTTAGTGCACCAAAATTAGGGTTTTGACCTAATTCAGTCCCTGATTAACTTTTGAAGCAAGGGATAATCCAATACCTCAATATATGTTTCAAGGACCTCAAATTCCTCATATTATTCCATTAATGTCATTAGATTGATCCAAAGAACTTGATTTATAAGCAACACAAGGATTCAAATTCATATGGACCATAAACTGGGGTTTCTGATGAAAAGTCAATTGTACCTTTGACTTTTGACCAAGACATGATCCCAAACCTTGATACATGATTCAATACCATCAATAACACCCTTGGAGTCCATCCATGGTGTTCAAATAGGCCAAGGGTTTGATTTCAATAAGAGATCACAAAATCAAAGTTCATTTGATACAAAAGTCAATTGTGGTCAAAATCAAGTTTGACTTTTGGAGTTTTTGGTCAAACATAGTCTCTTCAAGTAAAAAATGGTGTTAATATGGGATTTGGATCATGATTGATTAATAAAAATCAAGAAATGAGAGGTTACTTGTAAAAAGGGCAACCTTGAAGAAATGGAAATTTTTCTAAGTTATGAGAAAACCCTAATTTGGTGCAAACTTTGCAAGACCATAACTTCCAATCTAAGCAACCATTTTCTTTGATTCAAAGAACAGATTGAAGATCCTGTTACATATTACAACTTGGTTAATTAGGATGGATTCCCAAAAAATGCATAGATTTTAAGATATGAGGTCACAAAGTTAGGGTTCCAATACTTTTTTGCACTTTGACACATTGAAAAGTTTTACACAAAATATGTCTTGTGTTGGAACCAAATTTGAGGCTATTTTTCTATATGACCTATAATGATTCGAGACCAACTTCAAACATCAAAGTTGAATTATGATATACCAGCTTTCCCAAATGATTAAGAACATCAAAATCCTTTTATTTGAGTAAGCAGTTATGAATGTTGCAATAAGGCTTGATCAAACTGATGTTCATGACATAATTGCCAAACCTATTTGTGTCACACAATTTGGATAAGTCTTGAAAGCTTGAAATATTCACAAAATCAACTCCCAAATGATCATACAAGCATGTGTTCTGCAAAGCATAACTGAATTTTCAAAGATTCATCACTTGGCATGTGAAAATGATCATTTCAAAATGAGAAGTGAGGTTTTATCCTCTAGAATTAAAGTGGAATAGTGATTTTAAGGAAAAACCCTCCAATATGTTAGGACGTGATCAAAGCATCAAGGGATGGGATGAAACCATGAGGAACCAAGCTCAAAATATCAAAATTCAAGCCATGTGAAGAAAAGCCCATGTGTACCTTGGCTTTCAAGCTATAGGTTCATGACATCACTTGTTAGATAATGGCTTGTATCCCAATCCTTTCAAGTTCAAAATATCTGATACATTCTCCTAAAAATAGAGGTCATTGTGCTTTATTCTAGACACACAAAAACATTGCAAGAGCTTGTTTTTTCTCCTTCATCCTCCTCGCTAAAATTCAAAGTTCTCAAAGAGTGAAAATTGGAATTCTCAAACCAGTTCATTTCCACTCAAACCAAGCATAGGAACACTTCACATATATCATGTTTAGGTGATCCAAACACTCAAACTTCAACTGTAACATCAAAATCACCAAGTCACATGCCATTTGCTCAATATCTATAATAAGCTGCAGATTGGATCAAGCCAAGTGATCCAGGGGTTTTCAACTCATTCTAAGCATTGTAACACCATCCTTGAGGGTCAAGGAAGTTGTCTAGATCATTAAATCATATTTGTAACACCTTCAACAGAGAATTCAATTCTCACTTGCAAGGAAAGTTTCCTAAAAACCTGAACTCTATAATACATGCATCAAGTTTGATCATTCAAGTTACAGACATGTTTCGCATGATGTAAGGATCATTTTCCCTCATTTAATTTCCATTTTGTCATACCCTAATTTTTGACCCTAAGATTTCTCAATTTTCTCTCTGTAAGATTATTAGGTCTTTGGTCATGATCTTCTGAGAATTATATGTGCGTGTTTATTGTGACTAATCAATTTGTGCAGGTGCAGTAATTTCAAATGGAGATAGTACTCATTTTCACAGTCGAGAATTTTGGAGCATGACTAGTTGATCTTGACTTAAGGTCATCCTAGGATTTCTACTCTATATGGGCTCCACTTCCTGAATTCTTTGTTCATTCTTGGGCCATTCTTGGATCAATACTTTAAAGATATCTTGAATGGACTTTTTGGCTATATGTCATTAAAATCAAGATCGAGCTTTGGTAGTGTATGTGTCAAGGATGCCTCAAGATCAAGATGCTCAGATGCATGATTAATGCTTCATCATTGTTGTAGTTGAGAGTACTCGAAATTAGGTCATGGTGCAAAGGATAAGGTTGTGGAGTTATTAAGATTAAGGTGACAAGGAAGTGTGACTATGGTTTATGGATTCCATATGGCATCCAAGTTTGGTTCACAACATTTTGAGTTTGAATGATTCAAATAGGATAGATTAAGGTTGGTAAGTATGCTAAAATTGGAAGGCCCATTTATAGGGATTCCTCGAAGTTCAAGTTCATGTCGAATACAAGTTATTGATGATGGTTACAAGAAGTTTCAGGTTGTCATAAGGTTTAAGTATCCAAATTTCATCAAACTTTCTTATAAAAAACTTCAAGAAAATTCAAGTTGTCATGGGATTCAAGAGCTTTCAGAGTTATCATAAAGAGTTCAAAATTGCAAGAATGATTCAAAGTGTAAAGAGTTAAGAGTACTTCATAAGAGAGAGTATAGTCAAGTCATGATTCAAGTTGTCATATTTTTGAATTCATGAGTATTTATAAAATGAAAGAAGTATCTCAAATGGCACCATGAGAATTCAACAATTCAAGTATCGTCATACAAGAAAATTTAACCTTAAAGCTAATCTTAATTCTAAAACATCACGTTACAAAACTTAAAAATTTGACCAAGCCAACATGACGTCAAGCTAAACCAAACGAACACTCCAAGCTCATGTTTCAACATTTCAATCTCGCCAAATCTGCTCAAAACGAAGCCATACGTGAGCCACAAAACTCCAAGTTGCCACAATCCGGGAACTACAAAGACAAACACAAAAATGGCACGAAATCTTCATCATTAGCAGCAGAAAAGTGAACAAGCCATGGCAGCCCCTGTTCATGACAACAATTGTTAACAAGAAGAAAACAGAAATTGCAAGCAGTAGTTGTGGTATCAATAAACAATAACAAAAGAAGGAAGATCAAAGGGTTTCAGTAAGAATCAAGAGCATTCATCAACATAATCAGACATAATAATTTGAAATTAGAAAGTTTCATCATAATATTCATGGCAATCAAAACAATCAGACATGTTTGATTCGAAAAGGAAATAACCTCATCAATCATCACATTTAAGACATCCATCACTACTTTCCAAAGCAATCCATAGAAAAATAGAAAATCATTCATCACACTGTCACACGATCAAAATTTATCAAGAGGAAATTGTAACATGATGTTCCCTTTCCAAAACGAGAACCGACAACATAATCTCAAAGGTAACTGCACACGAGTCTATAAAAAGGGGAGGGATTGAAGAGAAAAGGGGAATAGTAGAAATCGATACAAAATTTAGAGAAATATTAACACAAAATTCAGAGCAAAAATCCACACGCATAGAATTCAGCAGAGAATTGGCAGAACATCACAATACATTCACGCAAAGGGCAGATAGGCACGATATCACAAACACACAGTTACGCAAAAAGCGGAAATAAAGTCATAGAGCTGAGGTTTTCACACACGTAGCACAACAACAACGTACACGAAAAGGAACACGAAGGAACAAATACCTGTAAACCGGCGTTGTTGAAATCGTCTCGTCAAACTCCTCGAAGGTACGCGATCCATACATTTAAAACTGGTGAGACTCAATTGTGTATTTGCGAAACTCCAATTTAAACTATTGTGATTCCATTTGTGGATCAGGGAGAATGATGTTCTGAAACCTCCTCCGCTGCCGCCGGCTTAAAGCCATTGCACGGCGAGGTTTTCTCATCGCCGATGATACGCATAAGAAAGTAAGTGGAGATGACTGAGGCAGAAGTATGCGTTTAAGCGAGGAAGAGTTGTTGCATGAATGAAAACTGAGTGAGAAAGACGAGAAAGTTAGGTGAAGGAAAACTGAGTGAAATAATATGATATTGATCTTTTTCATTATGTTGATGATGTTGGGTCGAATGGATTTGGCCCATTTGCACTAGGTCTTTTTGTTTTTTTGCCATATTTTTAGAAACACCAACCAAATCGTGTGGGCCTTGTATGAGCCCTTATCCTTTTTCTTAAAAAATGCACCAACACTTTTATTTTTATAATTTGTTGTCTTTTATTCATTAATTAAGTTTTTTTTTTTTGATTTTATTTATTTAATTTAATTTATGTGTTGATTTCATATTAAGTGAGGTGATTAGATTTTAATGGTAAATTAGGTTGGTAAGTTGTAATGTGGATTAAATTTGAGATCAATGCCCATTTTAAATTTGCGATTTGCTTTTAGTTTAAATTTATGATTGAATTCTTGATCTAAAATTACAAGTTATAATTCAAGCTTGAGAGTAGTGGTTGATATGTCCCTGGATAATGAGTTCTCGCTATGAGTTTGATACATCGCTTAATGATAGCTTGTGATACTTGTTGCATATTAATGGTTGCCTACTTGTTTGTTTTGGTTTGAGTTGGAAACATATGTTGACTTGCACTTGTTGTTGGCTCTTGCACTTATATGTTTTCCTATGTCTAAATCCAAGGGAGGGATTAATTATTTGAATATATTGTCATATGCATTGCATTCATTTTGAATTTCTCTTTTATCCCTTTGTGATCTCTATTCCTCTTTTAAGTTGAATACCTCAGATGGTGCTTAGTTTGTTTTTCCCTTAGGATGTCAATTTAGATAACTTACAATTATGTCCCCTTTTCTCCCATGAGGGAAATAAACATGAGTCATCCTTAGTTGAGAGGTAATTCTCTTACCCTATGACATAGTTGAGAAAGATGTAGATTCTTTTCCACTTGAGAGAGGTATGTGGCATACTCGTCGATTCTATATCCGAGATGGAGCCCTTCTCTTCATGTGAAGCAAAGATACATCTTCTGCATGCTTATGGTGGTTCAGTTGAGTATTCTCCTTAAGATGACAACTTGTTTCTTCTCCTGAAACCAACCAACAAACATTATTTTATCTGTAGCATGAACTACGAATGCTCTGATTCCATTCCCATCAGGATACGTAGGCCCGAGATGTGATGTCTTGGCGAGCATACTTAGGAATAACACCTTAGGTCTTCCCTTTTCTTTACACCCTTTAGCAGACAAATAACAAGTAACACAATAAAGCAAGAGGTTCACGTAGAGTACTACAGATACTTATGATGCTAGCACCTTCCCTAGGTATAAGCAACCCCCGAACCTTAGATTCTCTCTTGCTTTGTTTTTGCATTGCATATTTTTGGGTTTATTTGTTCTTTTTCCCTTCCCTTGGATAAATTAAAGATCGATGGTGAATTAAGATTTGTGAGCCTAGTTAACTTAATAGCTATGGTTTCCGATACTCACCGTGATAGAAATAGAGATTTCACTAGGGAGACTTGCCTAAGAGGGTTACACCTAACTTGTTTTATGTGTGTTATTTATTTGTATATATCAGTATGCCTGTATATTTGTATATATTTGTCTGCTTGGGTTTTTCTGTATGGCAGGGTTGTTACATTGTATGGTGAGATAAGTCTTAACCCGGACTTGAGTATACACCTATGATAGGATTGTGGTATAATCAATAGTTAGCTATTGGGAGTCGTCCTAACACGTCTAGCATATGATAACCATGCTCAGTGGAGGCCCCTTTGAGATTATTGATGTCAGATGTGAGTAGTCGTATTGGAATTACTTTTTTCAACCTAGGAGTTTGTGAAGTTGAGGACCTTAGTATCGCTTCACCCCTCTTAGCCTTTTTAGGATGTAGTGTAGTGATCATCCAGGTGTAGACCTGTGGTGGTTATCATGCGATACTACACTCAGACAAGTTTATCTTGGGAATATTATTAGCCTACATGAGTAGTCATGTAAGCCGATAATATTTGAAAGACCTATCAATGAATTTGGAAACTTTGTAGAACCAGTTGTACAGGTACAAAAATCCCATAGTACATACCATTTGGGATGGGTAGACCACAGCTTCATGCTCGTGATCTTCAAACCTAGGCGTTTGTGTGTTTGCATGTATATATGTGAATATGTGAATATGTCTATACATGTGTTTGTGCATTCATACATCCATACAATCGTCACCATTTTCCAACTTCTTCAAGGAACTTAGAGTTATCTTGCAAACATTATAGGTTTTACCATGGATTTTGGGAATTGTACTCTATTTTGTAATCCTTCAAAATTTTCAATGAAATGAGACATTTTCAGTTATCAAAAGTGTTGTCCACTTTATGGAGTTTGCAAACATAACTTTTGAGTTCCTTGAAATTCATTTTCATTTGCATACATGCCTTTCCCTAAATAACAAGCTCATTAAGCTTTTTGTCATTGTATCAATCAATTGATCTCCTGGCAGTCATACCGAGCTTGAAGTAGTTACTGAAGGATAATGGAGAGAATACATGATGTTGATCCTATGTCACACTTTACAGTGATGACTTACCCGATGTTTGGTTTGTCTCCAAATGACAATGCTCCACAAGTGGATGTTCTTACTCGATCTCAGCTTATGCAAGATAACCAGGCTGTTCAAGTTGATGAAAGAGATTCTCGATTTTCGAGGTGTACGCCAAATCCTCAAAGTTGTGGAAATTGAGGAAGGAGTTCGTGATCTCGAGGAACAATTGAAGATGATGAAAGGACTCAATGCATCTGGTCTTGAGGCTCATGACTTGTGCCTAGTTTTGAGCATGGTTATTCCCCCGAAGTTCAAAATGCCCATCTTTGAAGTATACAAAGGTGTTAGTTGTCCAAGGTACCATTTGATGATGTTCTGTCGAAAGATGACAGCTTATATTGACAATGACAAGCTGATGATTCATTGCTTTCAAAAGAGTTTATGTGGAGCATCCTTGATGTGGTATATGAAACTAGAAAGGAACCATATTCAGTCTTGGGACTACCTAGCTGACGATTTTGTGATGCAGTATAATTACAATATGGACATGTGCTCCAAATAGTGATCAATTGATGAGCATAAGTCAGAATGACAACGAATCCTTAGAGAGTACGCACAACGGTGGAAAGAATTGGTCGTCCAAGTTCATCCACCACTCCAAGAGAAAGAGTTGGCCAAGATGTTTCTAAAAATGTTGTCAGACTCTTATTATGTCAAGATGGTAGGCATTGTGCCTTTAGAGTTCCCTAAGATTGTGGAAGTCGGAGTAAACATCGAAGACACATTCAAAAGTGGAAGAATCCAAGATGACTCGAATAGCCAAGCTAGTGAAGAAAAATATATTAATGATTCCCAAGAGGAAGGAAATGTTGATGTTGATGCAATTTGGGATTCTCCTCAGATCTTGCAAGCTCTAATTCCGGTGTCTTATCACCAACATCAGTATGCAGCGCCTGTCCAGTGCCAGTAACTGCTACTTCGTGGGTTTTCATACCAGCAACAAGGGTTGACTCTGTAGCATCAATGTCAAAATCGATAAGCTCAAAATTCGAATTGTCAAAATCAACGCTAGAATCAGCAGAGTCCTCCAAATAATCTAGAAGGGGAGACTCGCTATTTTGATCCAATACCAATGACTTACAGTCAATTATGGTCTTATTTTTCCCGAAACTCGGTGATGGCACCCAGAAAGACCAGAGCCATGAAATCTTGCCCTCTTTGGCACAACTTAAACTCCAATTGTGAATTTCATGATGGAGTCGTGGGACATCTGATTGAAGAGTGCAAGGTTTTCTAGGAAAATGTTCAAGAGGTGATCGACGATGAGGTGCTGACTTTCAAGGAAGGAAGCCCAGTTATGAATGGAACGCCTTTATACTGATGTATATAAAGATTCAAGAGAATATATTCAGGCTAGTGAGATCAAGAGGAGAGCTTAATCCCAAGATCATCATACTATTTATTTGTTTGCTTGCATTTGTTGTTATTTCTTTGATTGTAAAAGCATGATTTGCATGCAATAACTTGTTTGTTTTGAATGATTAATGCAATGAATATGATCATCTTGAAGAAATCGATTCCTATTCACTCATAAAATGTTTTTCTTTCTGATTTGTAATGCCAAAAATGTCCAGTCTCTTGCCTAGGCAAAGAATTGGGAGGAGGATGATGAAATTAAAAAATGCAAGATCTCTTGTTGTATGTGTTGCAGTGAGAATTGGATATCAAGCTATTAATTAACTTGAATCAAAAATCATGAAGTTCACCACCGAGCTTTGATTTATCCAAAGGAAAGGGTAAATATCGAAGAAAACCCTAAGTGCACTACGTAATAACGAAGCTAAGAGATCTAAAGTTCGGGGGTTGGTTATACCTAGGGAAGGTGTTAGCATCCTAAGTATATGTAGTACTCTACAGGAACCTCTTGTTAGCATTTGTGTTATGTTAATGTTTGCCTGCTAAGGGAAAGGTGCTAAGGTAAAGACCTAAGGTATATACACTAAATATGCTCGCCAAGACGCCGCACCTCGTGGCTAGGTATCCTAACTAGGATGGAATCAGAGCATTCGTAGTTCACCTCACTGAGGGTGAAGAAAAATTGACTATGGTCAAGGTTCCAAGGGGAATGAATGTTCATAACAATGAAACTTTATAGAGTTAACAAACTCTCTAAGTATAAGTTAAAACCTAACTGGGGATTGAATTTAACAAAGGTCAAATGATAAAGTGAGTACACATGAAAATGGTACACC